TGGGTTCCCTTTTGGTTGGTCATATTTTAGCGTTCTCGCCGTTGCGGCCCAGGCAGCTTTCCAAATCGTTCCAGAACAACCCAAGAAGCCCCCAAGAGGGCCCCAATACGGCCCAACAGAACCCCAACACGGCCCAATGAGGCCCCCAAGACGGTCTAAGAGGCCCCTATGACGGCCCAAGAGGACCCCAAGACGGCCGCAAAGCAGCCGCGAGAGGCCCCCAAGACGGCCTCCGAAGGGGCGAAACGGCGCAAATGCGCCCCAATTTGCCAAAAAAACGCCCCCAAAAGGCCCCAAGAGGCCCCCAAGGGGCCCAAAAAGCCCCCAAAAGGCCTCCAAGATGTCCTCAAAAAGCCTCCCCCAAAGGCTCCAAAGAAGCCCCCCAAAGGCCACACAGCGACTGGAGTGCAATGCCATTTTTCCAACCTGGGCGAACTGCGGCGCGGCGCCAGCCAGGTGGAAGTTGGTCACAGCGGCGCCCATGATTAGAGCCAGCACTGGAAGGAAATATGGGGAGGGAGTATGAAAAGGAGGGAGGGGGGAGAGGCCCCAAAGAAGCCTCCAAGAGGCCCAAGGAAGCTCCCAGGAAGCCTCCAGGAGGCCCCCAAGCGGCTCCCAAGAGGCTCCGCGACGACGTGACTGTACGTGTTCCGGACGTGCACCCCGCGAAGCGAGAGGAATACTTGTATAACAACCATGCTGCTCGTCACTGGTCGTCGCTGCTGGCTTGTCGCAATCTGCGGGTCTGTTGCGCGCCGCTGTTCGACCCGTGTTGGGGTGTTTTGGGAGACTTTTTCGCTACGCGCTCTGCGCGCGGAGCGGGAGGGACGAAGAGCAAAGTCGGCAGCGAAATCAAGGAGCAAACCTTGACAAGAAAACAAAACAGCTAAAACATGAAGATCCACAGCGGCGGGCCTGAGAACGCTTTAACATAAAAACACCATCCAGACATGTAATCTCGAAGCATGGTTGTTGTTATTCCAGATTGTCAAGAGCCAAAAAGCAAGACTGCTAAAAAAGTACCCAGGGCGCTTTGAAGAAGAACCACGTTGGACTGGAAGGGGGCGGGTGGACAGCAGAGGGGTCGCTCCCGTCCTTCAGCGCAAAATGTCACTTGATTCTGCGATGGGAACCAGGGGCGACCCAGGTAAGAGCCTGTCCCACAGGCGCCGGCTGCTCAACCCTTATACCGCAACTCCCGCGCCCAGGCGCAGATGCGCACGACGTCCCGCAACGGGTCAGCGCCATCAGCAGCGCAACTGTGGGTAGCAAAACAAAGGGTAGCACAACTACGCGCAGCACGTGTGCCACCAGCGGTACCACTGCGCCGCAGTTTGCCGGAAGCAGAAGCACCGCGCGCAGCAGCATCACCGCTGCCAACAGCAGTAGTGCGAGCAGCACAAGCGCCACCAGCAGTACCTCTGAGACTAAAACGACAGCAATCAGCGGAACCACGCGTAGTTGCACAAACGTCACCGGCAATACGCGAACCACAGAAAGCAGCAGCACGACAAGCAGAAACACAAGCGCGACCAACAATACCTGGTCGACCAGCATTCCGGGAACCAATAGCGCCATGCGCACAAGCTGTAGAGCAACGAGCAGAAACACTTTGACGAGCACTACAGCAGCATCGACGCCACCACCAGCAGAAGTTCGAGCAGGACAAGCGGTACCTGTAGTAGCTCTGCGGACAGCACAACAGCAAACAACACAACCACGCACACCTGTGCTGGAAGCACTAGCATCACTGGTCTGACGACTGCGCCCGGGAACCGCAAGACCGCGCGAAGCAACATCGACGCCACCAGTAGCACTACTGCAACGAGCACGACAGCCAGCAGCACCAGTGCGACGAGCACGACGGAAGCAGCAGCGCCACGCGAAGCAGCACCAGCGCCACCAGCAGCTGCAGCGCGACCTGCACGACAGGAAGCAGCAGCAGCGCTACGCGCATCAGCGCCAGCGCAACGAACATAACCACTGCGACGACCACGACAGGACCAAGCCGCGATGCGCACCAAAACACCAGCGCCACCAGAAGCATCACTGTGACCGACACGGCCGGAGCAGCAACACCGCGCGAAGGAACACAAACGCTACCGACAGCTTGCCTGAACGAGCACGACGGAAACAGCCAGCGCCAGGCGATTCGCGCTGGACTGCGCGAGCGCCCTCATCCGCTCCCTGGCCAGACCGGCAGAGGAGGAGGCGACCGGCACAGAGCAGAAATGCGCAGTCCGTCCAGGCGAAGCTTGGCTTGGACGCCAGTGCGAACCCCACCCCTGGGAACAACTGTTATTCGGCCCAGGACCGAGGGGCGGTAGCCCTCATGCAGCGGGAAGGGTTGCGCCAGCTGAGGCCTACAATAGCAGCGCTACCCAGGAGCGCCCGGGCGAGCGCGAGAACCGTGTAGTGGCTTGTTGTGGGCCCGCCGTCCGCGCCCGCCGCCTGCCTGCAACAAGCCTGGCCAACAGCTCCAGGTCTTGCACCAGCGCCCTGCCCGGCCAGCACCAGCGCCTAACCTACACAGCCGCGGCCCCTGGGCAGCGCACTCCGACCGCCGCCGTCCAAGGGGCGTCCGGCGGCCGCTGCGTTGCCGGCGTCGCCATTGCCCGCTGCGGCGGCTGCGGGCCGCCAAGCGTCGGGGGTGCAGCAAGAGCATCGCGAGCGCAACAAGCAATTCCACTGTGACCAGCACGACAGGAAACATCACCACCACTCGCAACAGCATCAGCGCCACCAGCAGCAACCAGCCAGTACCAACAGCAGATCCACGAGCGCCACCAGCAGCCATCTAATAATGTGACCAGCACTCGCGCCACTGGTAGCACCTCTGCGACGGTCCCGACAGGAAGTCCAACAACCACGCGCAACAGCACCAGACGGCAACGCCACGAGCAGCACTATCAGCGCCACTAGCAGCGCCAGCGCAACCAACACGACAAAAAGCAGCAACACCACGCGCACCAACACAAGCGCAACTACCGATACCAGCGAAGCCAGCACAACGGTTAAAAACAGCACAAGCGCAACCAGCAGTACCACTGTGACCAGCACGGCGGGAAACAGCAGCACCCAGCGCAGCGGCACAAACGCCACAAGCAGCACCAAGGTGACCAGCAGGACGGGGAGCAGCAACACCCCGCGCGACACTACCAACGCCACCACCAACCCCAGTGTGACCAGCTCGACGGGACACTGCAACACACGGCACACGAGCACAAGCGCAACGAGTAGTACAAGTATGACGAGCATCAAAAGAGGCAGCAGCACGCGAAGCAGCAGCAGCACTACCACCCCCAGCGGCACGAGTGTGACCAGCACGAGAAGAAGCCGAGGCACAACGACTAGCCCTACCAGCGCAACAAGCAGCAGCGCTGCGACAAGCCCGACGAGAAACAGTAGCCATGCGTACACAAGCACAAGCGCAACGAGGAGTACCAGTGTGAGGAGCGCATCACTGGAAACAGTACCACTGCGACCAGCACGACGGAAAGCAGCAGCACCATGCGCAGCACTGCCAGCGTTAGCAGCAGCACCAGTGTGAACAGCAGTACGATAATCAGTAGCAGAACGCGAAGAAGCCCAAGCGACACCTTTTCGCCAAACTGGCCGTGGATGGGGCCGCGATCCGGAAGCTTGCGCAGCCCACAGGCTTGTGAGGCGGCGTCTTTCCCTGTGGCGAGAACAGCGTTCGCAATCAAAATGTGGCGGGGGCCCCAACAATGGTACAATCTATGATCAAGGTGGGAACGGCATTCCCAATCTATCATTTTCTCGACCAACGCCAGGCGAGAGCGGCAATCCGAATCGAGAGCCTGTCCGCGCTGAGCCGAGAATAACCGTCGCAATCATGCGTGCGGCCGGCGCCCAGGCGCCAAGGTGACAACGAGACGCTCAATGAAGGATGTCGGTGGCGCCTAGGCGACAGCAACATTGCCAATCACAGAAATGTCCCACGCACAGGCGACAACGACGTGCTCAATGAAGGATGTCGCCGGTGCCAAGGCGACAGCAGCATTCTCAATCAGAGATGTGGCTGGCGCCACGGGCTGCAAGACATGCTCAATGAAGGATGTCGCCGGCGCCACGGCCAGAGCAACATGTTTCATCAGAAACGTGGCCAACGCCAAAGCAAAAACGAGACGCTCAGTGAAGGATGTCGCGGGCACCAAGGCCACAGCAACATGGTTCATCATATATGTGTGCAGAACCAAAGCAAGAACAAGACGTTTGATGAAGGATGTCGCAAACGCCAAGGCGATGATCGGCAATATGTTCAATCAGCCATATGTCCCACCCCCAGGCGAAAACGGCATGGTCAGTGAAAATTGCCGCCAGCGACTCGGCGACTGCAACATTGTCAATCAGACATGCGGCAAACGCACAGGCGAGAATGACATGCTCAATGAAGGAGGCGCCTAGCCGACAGCAGCAATTTCTATCAATGTGGCCCACGCACAGGCCGCAACATCATTCCGAGACAAGCGTGTCGCCAAAGTACAAGTGTCACGCCCATTCCGGGTGCCACCGAGGTCCGGGTGACGTCAGGTGGGTAGTCCACGTAAGGGGGGGTGTACGCAATTGTTCGCTCTTCGACACTACCGTGGCTTGAACACCGCGTCCCCTCCCTGAGAGGAACAAACAATGACATCGGAAGAAAAATTCGATCGGATCGGCACTGGACGCGCGCCAGGGGCGGCGCCCGAGGCGCCGCCAGGGGGCCCCAGTGCCGATCCGAGGAGTGCACGCGGACCTCCGAGTTGTTCTATTCATGGCATCAGTTGTTCCCCTTATCTCGGGGATGGACAGACCTCCCTTTAGTAAAACGTGGTTTAGTGAAAACGACCTGAGGCCCAAACCTGGCGGGCGCAAGCCTGGAAAATAACGGCCGCGGCGCCCTCTCGAGAACCGAAAACGGACAATTCACTAATCGACGTGTCACTGTTGGGGGGTCTGTCCGCCCCCGATTATCCCTGCTCGCTCCACCCGCGCGCCTTCTCCTCCGCGTCGCCGTCGGCCGTGACCTTGCCCTCCAGCGAGGTCAGCAGCTCGACCACCTCTTCTGCACCGGGACGGGGCGTGCCACGTGTCTCCAAGCTTCCCTCGGGTCAGACAGAGTCAGGACCAGTGAAGGGGCCCCAGGACACACAAATAAATACACACAAATAAAAATATTCCCCATAGTTTCCCATATTTTCTGGGTTTTTGTCTTCCCCCCCACTTCCCATATTTTCCTATATTTTCTGGGGGATCGACGATTAATTGTGTCTGTGTTTTTTTTCCCTCCTGGACCAGGACAAAATCGGACTGGGCCAAATCGGAGATCTCTGCGACCCCCCGGTTCTGGAGGATGTGTCCAGCGCTGCGGCCGTTCCAGAGCGCTCCGACGACTCTGATAACGTTCTGCGCGCTCGGTAACGCTTCATTTGAGGGAGCGCGATCCACAGCGGCCATGCTGAAAAAATCCCTGGGGGGGGGTCAAAGAACCGGGGGGGGGCTCCCCCCTCCTCCAAAAAATCACTGAGGGAGGGGTCGGAAACCGAAGACCCCCCCGCCCTCAACCCCACCAACTGCACAACCCCCCCCCAAAGAACCTAGAATACCGACCCCCCCCCCTCCCCAGGCCCAAGGCCCCCCTGGGGGGTTTCGAACCCCCCCCCCCCCTTCCAGGCTCCTCCGGGAGGGTTCGAACCGCTCCTTCCCCCCCCCCCGCGCCCCCCCCCTCCCCTACTCGCCGACGGCAAACGACGACGATGATGATGACGACGACGACGACGACGACGACGACGACGACGACGGGCGGACCCCATCGAGTGTCAGGCGGGCGGACCCTATCGGGCAGGTGGTGTCGGGCGGGCGGGACACCACTAAAGTCTGATGCGTATACAACATGACCCATGAGAACCCTAACGGGCGTGTCGGGACGGGCGGACCCCTATCGGGCGGGTCGGGTCGGGCGGGCGGGACACTAAAGTCTGATGCGTATACAGCCTGACACATGAGAACCCTAGCGGTCGGGTCGGGACTGGCGGACCCTATCGGGCGCGGCGGGTCGGGACGGGCGGACCCTATCGGGCGGGGCGGAAGGACCCTGTCGGGCGGGTCGGGTCGGGCGGGCGAGACACTAAAGTCTGATGCGTCTACACCATGACAGATGAAGACCCGAACGGTCGGGTCGGGACGGGCGGACCCTATCGGGCAGGTCGGGCGGGCGGACCCTATCGGGCGGGTCGTGTCGGGCGGGCGGGGCCCTAAAGTCTGGTGCGTATGCAGCATGGTCAATGAGCACCCTATCGGGCGCGTCGGGACGGGCGGACCCTATCAGGCGGGTCAGGCGGACTCTATCGGGCGGGTCGGTTCGGGTGGGCGGGACACTAAAATCTGATGCGTATACACCATGACACATCAGAACCCTGACAGGCGGGTCGGGCCGCGCGGGCCCTATCAGGCGGGTCGGGCGGACCCTGTCGGGCAGGTCGGGTCGGGCGGCAGGGTCGGGTCGGGACGGGGGACCCTATCAGGCTGGGCGGGCGGACCCTATCGGGCGGGTCGGGTCGAACGGGCGGGACACTCAAGTCTGATGCATACACACCATGGCACATGAGAACCCCAGCGGGCGGGGTGGGACGGGCAGACCCGATCGGGGTGGTCGGGCGGGCGGACCCTGTCGGGCGGGCCAGGTCGGGCGGGCGGGACACGGAAGTCTGATGCGTATACACGCACATGAGAACCCTAACGGGCGGGCCGGGACGGGCGGACCCTATCGGGCGGGTTGGGCGGGCGGACCCTATCAGGCGGGTCGGGTGGGTCGGGCTGGACACCAAAGTCTGACGCGTCTACAACATGACACATGCGCACCCTAGCGGGCGGGTCGGGACGGGACGGGCGGACCCTATCGGGCGGGTCGGGCGAGCGGACCCTATCGGGCGGGTCGGGTCGGGCGGGCGGGACACTAAAGCCTGATGCGTATACAGTCTGCCTCCTTTCTCCTCCTACTCCTCCTCCACCTCCTCGTCCTCCTCATCCTCCACCTTCACTTCTTGCGTGTTCTCCTCCTCTTCCTCCTCCTCCTCCTCCTCCTCCTCCTTCTCCTTCTCCGTCTCCTCCTCTTCCTTCTCCTCCTCTTCCTCCTCCTCCTCCTCCTCCTCCTCTTCCTTCCTCCTCTTCCTTCTCCTCCTCTTCCTCTTCCTTCTTTTCCCCTCCTTCCTCATCCTCCTTCTCCTCCTCTGCGCTGGCGCAGATTTGCGACGACGTCCTCGTTGTCGTCGTCGTCGTCCTCCTCGTCGTCGTCGTCGTCGTCGTCGTTCTCGTCGTCCTCGTCGTCGTCGTTTGCCGGCGGCGAGTAGGGGGTGGGGGGGGGGGTCGAAATTCCCCGGGAGGGCCTGGGAGGTGAGGGGGTTCGAACCCCCTCCCCCCCTGGCGCAAGAATGTGTCGTCGTCGTCGTCGTCGTCGTCGTCGTCGTCGTCGTCGTCGTCGTCGTCTTTCGTCGTCGTCGTTGTCGTCGTCGTTGTCCTCGTCGGCAGCTGCCGGCGGCTAAGGGGGGGTCTAAACCCTCCTGGAAGGCCTGGGGAGGGGGGGGGATCGATTGCAACCCCCCTTGGGGGTGGAGGGGTCACCCTGGTTCCCGAACACCCGCCCCCACCCCCTGTTTTGGGGGGAGTGGGGAGGAAACCCCTCCCCCCCCCCTGCCAGTGGCGCCAGCAAGCGCTCTTTCATGAAACCCGCACTGGCCCTCCCCGCGTGGACATCCCAGAGCACATGGAAAAACCAAGCGAGTGAGGGATCGGCAGCGTTTCTATCGCCAGGTCGTTCCGTTTTGGCCGACTCGGGGCCGGCAGCGGCGTTGCACCTTGAACGCCCACACGGGGGTCGCAGCCGCTTCGTCACGTCCCGTGCCCTGATTTTCCCTAGATTGCGTCTCCAGGGTCCCGACCCTGAGAAAAGCAAGCGATACCGATACCGCTACTCACGGACCTCTCCAGGGGTGCGTTCTGACCAGAATTCCGATGCGAATCCAGCGGTGGTGACGAGGGCCGCCCAGGAGGCCCAAAAAGCAGAAAACGAGGCGAGGGGTAGAGGTATGGGTACCTTTTCCTCCTCTGAGACCCTGCCTCAAGTGCAACTCTTCCTCCCGAGCCGCTCCCTTGCCGCCCCAGGGCCCAGCGAGGTCACCCCAAAAGCCGGATGCCGACAGGAAGCCTCCCGCCGTGCTCTCTTCACGAGGGGCGGCAGGGATGTGCACCAGCGGTGTGCCTCTCCCCGTGGATGGAAAAGCGCTTTGCGCACAGTGCTTCCCTCCCTCCTCCTCCCTCCCCCCTCCTCCCTCCTCCCTCCATCTCCTCTTCCTCCTCCTCCTCCCTCCTCCCTCCTCATTCCTCCCTCCATCCCTCCATCTCCCTCCATATCCCTCCATCTCCCGCCCTCCCTCCCTCCCTCCCGCCCTCCCCCCTGCCTCCTCCTCCTCCTCTCCGCCTCCTCCCCTCCTCCTCTCCTCCTCCTCCTCCTCCTCCTCCTCCTCCTCCTCCTCCTCCTCCTCCTCCTCCTCCTGTGCGCTCTCCGCCTGCACTCGGTAGGGCGGCGGCTCTCGTCCTGCGCTCGGTGGGGCGGCCGCGCACTGTCCCCTGGGGGGGCGGGTCCCCCGGGCCGCTGGCCACGAGCGGCGAACGCGCCCAGATCCGCGCCCTCGCGGGCCGGACGCTGCAGCGCGATCCCGCGAACTGCTGGGCCTGCTCTCCACCACCTCCACCGCCAACAGGCAGGAGGGGGAGGGGACCCGCCTCCTCTTCCTCCTCCTCCTCATTCCTCCCTCCCTCCCTCCATCTCCCTCCATATCCCTCCATCTCCCGCCCTCCCCCTCCCTCCCTCCTCTCCTCCTCCTCCTCCTCCTCCTCCTCCTCTCTTTCTTCTCCTCCCTCCTCCTCCTCCTCCTCCTCCTCCTCCTCCTCCTCCGCCTCCTCCTCCTCCTCCACCCCCTTCCCCCCTCCAGCTTTATGGCGGCGGTGGTGGAGAGCAGGCCCAGGAGCGAAAACGCCGCTGCAGAGACAGGCTCCGCGCGAGGCACCCGCGAGCGCAAGAGCAGCCCGCCCCCGCGGGGTCGCGGGCCCGGGAGCCAGGCGAGGGAGGCCGCGTGTTCTTCGCCGGGCGCTGCCATGTGCTACGATGCCTGGAAGATGCCCCTCCTCCTGGCGCGGCGGCGTGGAATAGGGGGAAAACAAACCTACCTCGCTTTTGACCACCCTCGCTTCCAAGAGATACCAAACGATGCCAAATTGCAGCCTGTACTGGTCAGGCCGCTTGACGAGGAGGCGCGTGGTATGGCTTGGTTTTGCCTGGAAGCGAAAGCGGGGTAGGTAATTCACGCTATGATGGAAGGCCATCTGGCCCGTGCAGCGGGAGCGCAGAGAGGTGTCGCTCGCCGACGTGGCGCTCGAGCAGGCTTGCCCTCCGCCAGCTCCATGTGTGCACGCCCCTGAGTGCGCGTGCCTGCGCAGGGTCTCGGTCCAGCTCGATGGGGACAAAAGTCCGTCGTGGGTGGCGATCTCGGAGAAAAAGCGCTTCACGTGCGCTTGCCTTGGAGACATTCGGCGGCGCGTTTGAACGAGGTGGGGCCCCGCCCCGCGAACATTCGGCGCCGTCGCCCCTCCCCGCCCCTCTCCCCGACCCTCGCCCCCCTCGCCCCTCCCACCCCGCCCCCCTCCCCGACACCCCCCAACCCCCTGCCCTCGCCCCTCCCCGCCCCCCACCCCGACCCCCCCCCTGGCGCCGGCGCTGGCTGGGAGTGCAACGCCGTCGTCGTCGTCGCCGACGTCGTCGTGGCCGTCGTCGCCGCCGTCGTCATGGCCGTCGTCGCCGTCATCGCCGTCGCCGTCGTCATCGTCACCGTCGTGGTCGTCGACGTCGTCGTGGCCGTCGTCGTCGCAGCCGTCGTCGTCGTTGTCGCCGTCGTCGTCGTGCTCGTCGTCGTCGTCGCCGTCATCGTCGTCGTTGCCGCCGTCGTCGGCGTCGTCGTCGCCGTCGTCGTGCTCGTCGCCGTCGCTGTCGTCGTGCTCGTCGTAG